TTTTTTTTTTTTTTAATTTTTTTTTTATATTTTTTTTTTTTTTTTTTTTTTTTTTTTTTGTAAATTCGTTAATTAATGTGGCACATCCATTGAATAGAAATAGACGCACATATAATACACCAACACAACTCATTTATGTTTAACATGCTATATACGGAGTTTTGGATTTGTATAACTCAATGGTTGTGAATTGATTTGACAAATTTTACACAAAATTTTAAGTCGAACGATTCGGGCGTTGTCTTAACGAGAATCTTGCCCATTTCTCAACTACGAGGATACATTTGTTACAAAATAAATATTCTCAATAATGCAACTAAACAAAGTCAAATGTAGTCTAAAAACATACACCTATTAAAAACCAAAACTGGGCCAAATAAAGGGAAACTTAAAAATAAGGGAAAATTTCGTACTTAAGATATTAAGTATAACATATGAAACAAAGTTTATTATTTCAAAAATAAGATATTAATTAAATTTTATTTATTAAATAATTAATTGAAAATATAGCCCCTGATTGCCCCCCATTAATTTAAATTTTTTGGGGGTAGATAATTTTTAGANAGATAGTCTGTACAAAATTTGTGAACCAAAATCTGGTAGAGTAGAATAATTCTTGAGGAGAATAGAAATTTTAGAATAGTGATTGATGTGAGAATGTGTGGTGGAAAAGTGATGAAAAGTTTTTGATTTGTGTGTATTATTATTTTATTTGATGAATAGATGGTTGAGATGAAGAGAGAAAAAAAATTAATGTAATGGAATGTGATATAATGGGGGGGCAAACAAGGGCATATTATAATCATAATTACGTATCTATAGGTTACAACTTATTTACCAGTCATATATTATCAAATTAATTGGTCACAAATTATTTTTCGATTACAAATAAAATTTTTTTTTACGTATCTATAGGTTACAATTTATTTACCAGTCATATATTATCAAATTAATTGGTCACAAATTATTTTTCGATTACAAATAAATTTTTTTATAACTCACAATTTATTTATTTGTCACAAATCACACATTTTATAAGTCTCAACTTATTTCACGGTCACAAATATTAAATTAATAGGTCACAATTGACCAAATTCTGAGTCATAATTACAAATTTAGTTACAATGATATTCTTCTAGGTCACATGTTATTTATTAATCACAACTAACAATTTATTGATCACAACACCCAAATAATTGATCGAAAACACCCTTCCCACCCACAAAACACCTCCATCACCATGAGCACCACTGCCTCGTCAACATTACCATGGCACCCGCAAAACCACCGCACACCACCGTCGCACACAAAGCACACCACCATCGCCACCACCACCTCCATAGCCATCTTCTCTATTTCCATCTATACCACACCACAACCACCACCACTACCAAAAAAATCACAAACTTGTCGCCACCACCACACACTAACACCATCGAGAAAAACACCACAAAATATGCCGCAAAATCACAACCATAATCGCTACAAAACGTCGAAGAAGAGTGGTAATACACCGCAAAACCAACATGGTAAAGTAAGAACGGTAGCTCTAATAACTTTGCCACCAGTTGCCATATCGCAAACGCAACAAATGGTGCTGTAATCCCACCATAGAAGCTAGGCAAATGCAACGTCGGAGAAACCACTAGAATGCTGCGATATGTGACCAAGCAAAACTACGGATCACCGTGATCTGTGTACCAAGGAAAACCATGGATCCACATGTAGAGGCTCCGACTCTGTAGTTGTGCAAAGTAACAGTTGCGCCTCCGATGCCGCACCTCAACGCTTGAGGTTTCATGTCGCCGAAGAAGAGAGAATGTAGAGAGACGGGAAATGATAAGAAAGAAAGGGTAAAAGGATTTAGGATTTGGGATGTATGTAGTGGAGTGGGTTGTGTAGATTAATTTAAATTGAGTGGGCTAAGTATTTTGGTGAGTGGTGGGTTTGTAGATTAATTAATTTTATAATAATATTATTAATATTTAAAAATTATATTATTATCTGATTTTTATATAAAACTAATTAAAATCTGAATTTTGAAGTTGGAACTTGAAAAATATCCGTATATTCCATTAAAGATAATGCAAAATTGGGCCTAGGGTGTCCGATCCAACTTAGGGACGTCCCAAGGATGCAGGGGCATAAGTCCAGGCGTGCTCTCCAAGCCTAATTTTTAAGAGTTAAGCTATTTGTACCACCTCCTTTACCACTTGGTTTACAGATGAATGATGT